AATCATGCTTGGCCCAGGAGCCCTGTAACCTAACCCATTGTTTTTTTGGTCCAAACAACAGCTACATCATTGAAGTGTCTTTGCAGTCAAAAAGAAAAATAGAACCATAAAACGAAAACTGTTTTTGATAAGGTCTGGAAATCCTGAACCTGCTAATTGAAGATTTAAATCACTTGTTTTCCTCAAATATTTAAATCATAGTGCCTGCAGCTCAATTTTTTAAGTGAGGCTCAGGCCAAGTTGAGTTGAAAACACATTATATTTTCCTTATTGAAATAAAAAAAAGAAAAAGTAGGTTTCAGAATTCTGATGCTATCATTGGTCATGAGTATAACTAGAGGCAATAGTGAAGCTTAAAAAAAATGTAAAGTTCTCATTTTCCATTTTATGTCGTAGAAAGTAGGAAGTTGATTACTTTTTTTTTTAGTACAGAGAATATTTTTTATCAGCTTTTTACCAGCAAAAGTGCTTGATATAGTCACAGGAGCTGATTTTTCTTTTATTTACATGGGATTTTGACACTCGTAGTAAACCAAGTGAAATTATGTTCAGAACGTTACTTTTTGATATGTTTCTGTGAGCAGTACTTTCATCTTTATTATGATAAATTCTGAGGATTTTTACATTCGGGTTATTCCAAAGAAAACTCATGACCCCAAAAAGTATGTATTTTATGTGACCCTTATAAATAGCAGTTCATAGGTCATTATCCTAATAGCTTCGTGACTTCTGTATTTCAATTTTCAGAAGTGTCTGGAAGTCTGATTATACTATTACTTCCCAAACTCAAGAGCTGTTCATAAAACTATCAACTTAAAGGCGATACTCTTATTTCCTCACAAACTTTTGGAGAGAACTATGTTTTTGCCTTTCTCATTTATTGTGATGAAGTCTCCAACTTAGGTGACTACACTGGAACGTTGAGTTGTTGCATTAACAACGAACATTACAGTCGAGTCAGTAGTACCCTTTTCTGCTTGTGGAATGGGACTTAGGCCTGATACTCTGAGATGATTTGGAGCACAAACAGCTGAGGGTTCTCCAGTGATGTGTGGTTTGTTTAGGATGAGAAAGGGAACCTCACAGGACACTTCCACACATTCTGCTCTCTCGGTTCTGATTCTCTCCTTTATTTTTCCATGGGAGCAGAACTGGTGGTTTGGGTTCTCCGTTTTATCTAAGCTGGCTCAAGAAATTCGCTCCACAACTGGAGATTACATGTGGCCTCTTATCCCCTGGGCTGGCTGCCTCTAGTGGAAGAACAGCGCTAGTTGTTGATATTAATGGGGAATGTTGGAGGTCAGCCACCTGAGGGGTAATTTCCATAAGCACTGATCTCATCTGCATGATCTCATCTCTCCGGCCAGTTGCATAATGTCTCATACTTGGAACCGCAGTTGTTGATGTGATGTAGGGGCTGGGAGGCACATGGTCCTCTCCTGGAGGTTGGTCCTTCTTTCACAGAAGTACCTACTGTAGTGTTTCAGGGCCTCAAACTTCTTTTCTCTTTTCCTCTCCCCGCCCCTTGTCTTTTCTTCTTTCCTCTTTTCTATTAGTTTGAGTTCATAGTTAAACTCTGACTATCTGAAAAGTTTAGTCCTGAATTGCAAATTGAGGAAAAATGTCCTGGACTCTTTTGCTAATTTGCCTTGTGAACATTAAAAAATTATTGTTTCTCTGTGATCCCTGACTGCTTCTGGAAAAAGAGACACTACACTGTGTTTTTTTCAAGGTTATATGAAAACATGATAAAGTAAACTAGGTAGTGATAATAGCTTCACTTAATTTTTTCCATTCTTGTTTATCTTATTTTTTAAATATGTAGAACATTAACATGCTTCCCAAAGTCACACTTATTTTAAAAAGTATATCCAAAGGGGTGTCTCTCCCTCTCCTTTTCCTTCTCCCTATCCCTTGTGGGTAACCTAGTTCATTAGTTTCTAGTTTATCTTTTCTCTCTTTTTGCAAAAATAAACATATACATGTATGTTTTCTTATTTCCTCTTTTTCTTACACAAAAGGTAGTATACTATATATACTATACAGTGTATATAGTGTGTGTGTGTGTGTATACACACTGTTTTAGACTTTGCCTTTTTTTTACTTAACAGTATATCCAGGAAATCACTGTGCATTCGTTCACAGAGACATTCCTTATCCTTATTCTTTTTTCACAGCTGCATGGTGTACTTCATTGTGTGTATGTACCATGATGTATTCAACCAATTTCCAATTTTTGCACATTTAGGTAGTTTCCAATATTTTACAATTACAGATAATGCTTTAGTGAATAATCTTGTGCATATGTATTTTTGGATTTGTTGGAGGTATATCTTCAGGGTAGATTCCTAGAAGTGGGATTATTGGGTCAAAGGGTAAGTAAGTAAGACATTCTGCTTTATAGTAGTTGTCCCCTCTGAATTCCCCCTAGCAATGGGTGAGTGCTGGTTTCAACAGAATGAATGCTCAGACTTCTGAATCTTTGCTAATCTAATGGTGAGAAGTGGTATCTCAGTGTATGTTTAATTTGCATTTCTCCTATTGTGAAGTTGAACATGTTTTCATATATTAAAGTTTGTCTTTGTATTTTTGTCTTTTATGA